CTAGTTGTCCAATTGCATTTTAGGTTTTTTTTTGCCTTATCTTTGCATTTTCCCGCTTACGCAGGGTGTGCTGTACGATGCATCCGTCTCCAGTAGGCATGATGTTCATCTATCCTTAGTTCTCTCAAGTCGGCTCTGATTCTGTCCATCTACCTCATCTTTGGCCTTCTTGGTTTTTTTTCCAGCGACTTCCAGAGACATTGCACTCTGGACATGTGAATCTCATTTCTTCTACTAACATTCTCGTACCATCCCAGTCGTTTTTCCTGCATCTGACGATGGGAGGGATTTTTATTAGCTCGTACTGTGCCATTACAGACATGATCCAGCAAGGTGATATTCAAGTCCAACACAGCACTTTTCTTCATGACATTAAGCTTGTGTTCTTCATTTCGTGTACTTAACCAACATTCACTGCCATACAGCGCTGTTGGACGGATCACAGTCCAGTAAATTGAGAATCAAGTTGTTTTGATTCGCTTATCACATAGAACTCCTGTGAAAGCTCTCTATCTCAGGCTGTGTTTGTACTAGCCGATAGCTCATCTTGAAGTCTTCCTCGCCGAGAGACTTCTTATGTGCTTGAAGATGCTCACCTCCTTGATCGGCTCATATCGTATATGATTTCATTTGATCTTCCACTTCCATATACTCTGTCTTCTTTATGTTGAGCGTTAAGCCGTTCGTAATTAAGTGGTTCTCCAGCTCTATATTTCTACTTCAAGTTCTTTTCTGTTTTTTACCATCAACACCTATCATCTGCTACAGGAGAGCCCATGGAGGCTGTTGCTCGAAACCTTCCATCCCCGTTCCATGTTAAAGAGTAGAGGAGAGAACACCGATCCCTGATTCACATCGATTTTTAGGCGGAATATTTTTACTGCCCTACCGTAGGTTGTGCATGGCTCGAAGCTCCGTAGTAGATCATTTTTATACACTGGATATATAGTTCTGAAACCATGTGCTTTCGCAGCGGCCATCATACGATAACATGGCATAGATTTCGAAAGCTTTCTCCACATCCAAGGAAGCCGCATGTAGCTCTCTTTGTTATTCTCTATATTTCTCCATCACTATTCGTACAGTATGGATGGCGACAGCAGCGGTACCTTTTGCAAATCCGCACTGATTTGATGATAACTCTAAGACCGATCGAAGTCGTGTTTCAAGTACTCTTCATCTTCAAAATGTGGATCATCAGCCGGATTGACCAATGTTGAACAGCTGCGATTTCGTCTTTATTCTTCTGTGCTTTCTGATCAGTCACAGAGCATGCTCTTAGCTTTGATGACCTGATTGAAGAGGCCCC